TCAACTCTACCTTCTGCTAAGGAGATAAAGAGGGAACGACCCTAAGGTCCACCAGATCCCCCGACCCCCATATCTTAAGATATAGGTTTAAAAATCTGGTTCCAAAACACCTCATTGGAATCAAATGGTTACAAAAAGACCAGTTTCTCTGTAGGTTGGTTTAGCAAATTTTCAGACCCAAACCTATCACATGAATCTTGGTGATCTCTCATTAAGTATGAGCAATATTTTTTGTGTTGAAAAAAGGATTTCTTAAAGATATATGCAAGCTTTGGGACAACAATTGAATTACTACTCCTGTTTATAACCAGTTTTTTGGACATATCTAAAAGGCCTCCGGTAAAATTTCAAGATTTTTGGATCATAAGTTTTTGTTCTTTCTAATTTCCTCCCCTCNCCAACGTAGTATGGGTATACCCGCCTCCTGGTGGCTGGTTGAGAAAGCTCTGACTCAGCCTCGGTCAATAACAGAGGACATAACTGAGCCTCGCCCTCCAGTTCCAATCCATTCTCCGACATCGAACCAGACCAACTCAACGTCACACGTTCTTGCCGTTAAAGCGTTCTTCTCAAATATAGGTGAATAACTCAAGTTTTTCTTGGTTTACTTCCACCATTTTTAGTTCAAGGTCGTCTTCCCAGTGATCGATTGAGTGAAATTAGTGTGTTTTGCATGACCGTGTTCTTATATGATAGTAGTAGAGCAAATTGCGCAAAATCCAGATTAGGCTTGTACAACTACGGTCTGTAATAAATAAATTCAGCTTAGGTTCTTGACTTGGATTGTTTCAAACCATTTTTCTTCTCGAAATACAGACTCAGATATTTTAACATTAAAATTAAACATAAATTAATCAAACATATAAAATGTGTATTTCTGATAAAATTACGATTTTAAGTCAATATCGATCTTATGTTCGTAGATCTAGACGTTCTGTCACTGCAGACATTATACAATACATTTTCTAGAATATGCTTTTTAAAGACCCCGGCGTTGCCCGAGGAATTAAAAAAACGAATTTTGACAATAAATTTAAATTTTTGAGAGAGAAAAAAAATAGATTTTTAAAAAAAAATTTCGATTTCTATAATCTATGTTACTCCCAGAATACCCATGGGTTTGCTTAAATTCGGTCCAGCCCTTTGGCCAGCTATAGCTAGCATATATATGTGATAATGAGCGAAGAGCTTTATTATATATATATATATATATATATATATGTATGTACTTTCTATTAGCAAATATATATAAACTTTAAAAAGTAGCTTCAATTCTGTTACTTTAATCTTACAATAAACACTAAAAGTACACCAAACCTTTAAAATCACACGTATTTTTGAAAAATTTCCTTGAGTGTCATTTTTAAATTTAGAATTTATATTTTCTTCTGTTGGAAAGTCTAGTGTAAGATCACGCGAACGTGGTTCCAGTAATTGTCAAAAAAGAAAGTATTTTCCCGAGAAACATGCAACAATTTCAACCTAAACTTAACTTAATCTAATAATCTAGGAGATTGGTTCAACCCCTCCCCTTTCCGTAAACTAAAGGGCCGGGCGAATAGGGTACAATAGTAAGACTAAGTCCCACATTTTAGAATCTATTACAAATTTAAGTTCTAATACATGCACAATTTTTTGATATTTATTACGTGTTCTTGATTTTACAAGGAATGAAACAAATTCAGTATCTGCAGGGAACTTTAAGAATGGTTTAATCATGACAGAACAATTTCCGTACAGTCGTCTCTGAAGTCTTTAAGGTTAACCCTGTATCTATGTGCCACACTTTGTGTTCTCATTTTTTGTCGTCTTCAATGTGTTTATCTTAGTGCGTCCACTTGGTTTCACATGTAGGATCTAGGTATATTAGGACGCACACTAAAAAAATCTGCTTCATCGAAAAAAAAGTGAGATGAATAAAAGGGGCTGTTGTAAAATGTAAATTGTATATAGCCACCCTTTTATTTTTTATTTTTAAAGTAAAAAAAGGTGAAAGATCTAGGTGTAAAGTGCAGGTTGGAGAAAATATAAGTTTCTTTTCTTTATTTCTTCCTAAATCCTAGATGCTCAAGTATGACAACTAAGACAAGTTATCCTGCTCCTCAGAATAATAATTACAAAGCTTATAACAAATCCTAACCTTAAACCTAATTTTTATACTCCTCTAGCCGTTTATGGCTCATCCAGCTCCTTATAGATCCTCTAGCTCCTAATATGTCCTCCACCTCATTAAAGCTCCTCAAACTCCTTATAGCTCCTTAAGCTCCTTATAGGTCTTCCAACTCCATAGCTCCTCAAGTTGCATATATATGTCATCCATCTCCTTATATGTCCTCACACTCATAATAGCTCCCCAAGCTCCTTATAACTCTTCCAGCTCCTTAATGCTCCTCCAGATCATTATATCTCCTCAAGCTCCTAATAGCTACTCAAGCTCCTTATAGCTCCTCCAGATCATTATAGCTCCTCAACTACTTATACCTCCTCCAGCTCCTTATAGCTCCTCCAGCTCCTTATAGCTTATCAAGCTCCTTATAGCTCCTGAAGCTCCTTATAGCTCCTCCAGTTCCTTATAGCTCCTCAAGCTCCTTATGGCTCCTCCAGCTCTTTACAGCTCCTCCAGCTCCTTATAGCTTATCAAGCTCCTTATAGCTCCTCAAGCTCCTCATAGCTCCTCAAGCTCCTTATAGCTCCTCAAGCTCCAATTATTGCTCTGCAAGCTCCTTATAGGTTCTTCAGCTCCTTATAGGTTCTTCAGCTCCTTACAGCTTCTTCAGCTTCTTATAGCTCCTTAGCTCCTCAAGCTCCTTATATATCCTCCAGCTCCGTATAGATCCTTAAGTTCCGTATAGCTCCTCCAGCTCTTAATCTCCTCAAGCTCCTTATAGCTCCTCCAGCTCCTTATAGCTCCTCAAGCTTCTTATAGCTCCTCAAGCTTCTTATAGCTCCCCGAGCTTCTTATAGCTCGTCCAGCTCCTCAGCTAATTATAGCTCCTTCAGTTCCTTATAGATCTGTAAGCTTCTTATAGCTACTCAGCTAATTATAGCTCCTCCAGCTCCTTATAGCTCCTCCAGCTTCTTATAGCTCCTTATAGCTTATCAAGCTCATTCAGCTCCTTATAGCTCCTCAAGCTTCTTATGGCTTAGCAACCTCCTTAAAGCTCCTCCAGCTCCTTATAGCTCCTCCAGCTCCTTATAGCTCTTCCAGCTCCTTATAGCCCCTTCAGATTCGTATATGTCCTCCAGCTCCTTACAGCTCTTCAAGTTCCTTATAGCTCCCCCAGCTCCTCCAGCTCCTTATAGCTCATCCAGCTCCTTATAACTCCTCCAGCTCCTTATAGCTCCTCCAGCTTATTATAACTCCTCCAGCTCCTTATAGCTCCTCCAGCTTCTTAAAGCTCCTCCAGCTTCTTATATCTCCTCAAGCTCCATATATGTCATCCAGCTCTTTTCATGTCCTCAAGCTTCTTATAGGTCCTCAAGCTCCTTATAGCTCCTTCGGCTCCTTATAGCTTCTCAAGCTTCTTATAGCTTCTCCAGCTCCTTATAGCTCATCCAGCTCCTTAAAGCTCCTTCAGCTCCTTATAGCTCCTCAAGATCTTTATAGCTCCTCAAGCTTTTTATAGCTCCTCAAGCTTCGTTTAGCTCCGCAAGCTCCTCATAGCTCCGCAATCTCCTTAAAGCCCTTCCAGTTTTTCCAGCTCTTTCAGCTCCTCCATCTCCTTCAGCTCTTCCAATTTTTCCAGTTTCTTAAAATTCTAAAAAGAAACCAGCTACTTCCTCTTATCTAGTTTCATCTACCTCTTTACAGCCACTTTAGCTTTTCTAGTCTTTTTGGGGGGATTTTTTGCCAGAAGAAAAAATAAGTAAGCTCTTCAAAAAAGAAAGGAGTATAATTTATTGTAAATATTTAAAAATATTATGAAAACTACAAAAATTATAAATCAGGTTTGCTCTGCCTTGTAAAAATCGATTTTTGCTTTCCTTTAAAGCGATATTCGGAAAATCTACCTCTCGTAAAGTGATATTCGGAAAATCTACCTCTCGTAAAATTGTTTCAAAACCTGGCATTGTAAGTGAAGGTCTTCTGAAACAAAAAGAACTTTCCCTTTATTCAATTATCCTACATTTCAGCTTTAACATTTAATTTTCCCTTTCCAATAAATGCTTTCACTTCCTTTCATTATTTTTAATTCTATTCAATAAATATATATTTTCTACAGTTAGCTTCTCTTCCTTTTAGAATTAGAATTATAAAACTTCAAATATAAAGTAGTCATTAATCTGCCGCGATAATTTTCCAATTCCAACCGAATATAATTTAATTTAATTTTTTGTTCTATTTGTTTTTTAGATTTCATCATAAAAATTTGCTACGCTCTGGTAAAATTAGTTTAGCTATTTCTATCACTTTGTCTTCTTCGGCGTTAAAATATATTTATTTCAGCGTCACTTTTTCTTCTCCCCTCCGGGTAAGTGCAATTTTTGTAAAGCAAATCAGAGTTTTTTATACAGGGGGATTTTCAAAGGAATAGACTTCCGAGACGACTGTACGGAATTTATGCTGTTTTTTTATATTCGTGATTCCCTGCAAACCATAATACAAGTAATAAAAAGACTACATTTAAGGCAGAAAACTTATTTTAACTTTGAAATTGTCATATTTTAAGAGTGTTAGGTCGTCTTTACCGTCTCCCTTATGTAACCCTTTATGTTAAACACAAGTTTTGGATTTATTCTGACTTTTACATTAGTCTCTTAAAAAATATGTGAAAAAAGAAGAATTTTCTATTATGCAGGATTAATATTATTTAAAAAATTATTTTTAAAGCTATATATTAAACGTAAATATAGCCTTTATAACGTTAAAACATACATTTAAAAATACAATAAACATATATATTCTAGAAGAAGTTTAAAGAAACTCATAAAATCATTTAAAAAGAAATCCTTGCAATAAGAGTGCGCCATATTGCTCGAATGCTCAATAAACTTTTCTTTTTATTTTCTTTTAAACTTTTATATTAGATTTGATTGTTATAGACTTTATGTTTAAGTAACTTACCCTTTGTCTTAGAAATACATTTGTTTAAAGAAAACATATTTTTATTTTCAATTATTCCAATAATAGAGTGGCATGTCTGATTCACGACGGGGACATTTAATCCTTTGTCTGATCAAGGAAAGCTGAGAAATCCTAATTTTTCCCAGTAGAAAATCCAATCTTGTAAATTATTATTTTTATTTAAAATTGATTTTGGGATTTATTCTGCAATGACAATGAGGAAAATTATATAGTTTTCAAGGTAGAAAAACGACAATATCTTCATCATTGGTACTTAAAGGGTACCATTGAAAATTGAACATGCCACTCGTGAAACGGGGAGTAACTTGAAATCGCAACTTCAGACTCTATGAATATAAAGATCTGAAGTCAGAATTCTGTTTTCTGCATTGCAGAATGTACAAAAAGGCAGATTAAACTACGCACAGACATTAATAAAGTGTCAATATTTGTGGATAACCCTGTATTCCTGAATATAATGAAATTATTACTCTTAACATTTTAACCACTTTAATTTGAAATGTCAACAAAATATGAAATTAAAACAAAATACATTTTTGTATGATGTTTATAATATTCATAGAGATACTTTACATAGTGTATACAGTATGAAAGGATTAAAATTATAAAACAAGAAAAGCGGACATATTGGTTTTGTTACACTTGAAAGGATTCAGAAAAAGTACATTGCATTTGTAGACCTGAATGAAATTATCGATTTTTGCAGAATCTATATCTAGCCATAGATTTATAAAGTTGTAATCTTTGTTTGTCTGTTTGTTTGTATGTCCGATCATAACTCATGAACACCTTGACCGATTTGCCTCAAATTTAGATTGAGGAACCACGGGAAAGTTGAGATTCTAAGTTGAGTGGTTCCACTTTTATTGGGATAAATAATTAACATCGTAATTTACGACAAAGCGCGGGTAAACGGTGGAGTAACTATGAGTACCCTGGGCAACGCTGGGTTCTCAAGCTGGTTTGATAATAAAGATCATCCAATTTTAAATTTAATAATGATATAAAAAATAACATTTTTTTGATTTTATAAATTACTCGTATTGACTTATTGTCTATTTTAGGAAGGAGTATGATAGAGGTTTGGTTGAGTGCTGCTCTGCTCAGCCTTGTTGCTGGAGCAGACCCTGCAGTACGAGCTGAACCTATGGTAGCTATGCTCTGCCCTGAACCCGGAGATCAGGCAGCTCAACTCTTCCACAACAAGTTCCTCAGCTCCGGGAAGTGGAAGACGGATACGGATATGAAGGCAACCTGCAGGAAGGACAAGGTTGAGATACTGGAGTACTGTAAGAAAGTATACCCGGAGAGGGATATAACTAATATCGTGGAAGCGTCCCACTTCACCAAGATCGGGAACTGGTGTAAGCTTGGTAAGAAGAAGTGTCAAGGACCAACCAGGTGGATTAAACCCTTCAGATGCCTTGAAGGTCCTTTCCAGTCTGATGCTCTCCTAGTTCCGGAGCACTGTCTCTTTGATCATATTCACAACCAGACACGTTGCTGGAACTTTGATCAGTGGAACAAGACTGCTGAGAATGCTTGCTCCGACAGGTCGATGAAGCTAAGAAGCTTTGCTATGCTACTCCCCTGTGGGATAGATGTGTTCAGTGGAGTTGAGTTTGTCTGTTGTCCGTCCAGTTCTAAGACAAGGAAGGAGAGGGTTACCAAGGAAGAGAAGATGGTTACTAACTCCTGGCCCGAGGAGCTCAAGCTCAAACAGATCGAGAGTGATTTCGAAGAGGATGAGGAGTACTACGAGGATGATGAGGAGGAGTATGATGAAGATGATGATTATCTAGATGAGGATGAGTACTATGAGGATGAGTATGAAGGAGAGAAGGATCTGGGAGATATTCAAGTTTCTATCCACTTCCCTAAGGAGGAAGTTACAACAACGACGACATCAACAACAACAACCACTACAACGACGACCACAACAACCACAACAACAACAACTACAACAACTGAAGCGACAACGACAACAACTGTCAGACCAACAGCAGATCCCTACTTTACACACTACGATCCCCGAGATGAACATGCAGCATTCATGCAGGCGGAGAGAAGGTTTGAGGAGAGACACAGGGCCAAGGTTTCCAAGGTCATGAAGGACTGGTCGGACCTAGAGGAGAAGTACCAGGATATGAGGAGTGAGGATCCAACCTCTGCTGAGGAGTTTAAGAAGCAGATGACTGACAGGTTCCAGAAAACAGTTCAGGCCCTGGAGGAGGAGAGTCAGGCAGAGAAGAGGCAACTGCTTGCCATGCATCAACAGAGGGTTATATCTAGGATAAACCAGAGGAAGAAGGACGCCATGAACTGCTACACCACCACCCTGAACAAGAACCCACCGGTTAGTCACAGAGTTCAGAAGTGTCTGCAGAAACTACTGAGATCTATGCACAAGGATAGACACCACACTATTCAGCACTACAGGCACATGCTGGAGATCAATCTAGAGCAGGCAGAGAGGGAGAGAGAGATCACCATAGAGCACCTCGCAGATATTGATCGCCTGGTTAATGAGTCTCTTCAGATGCTCTCCAGGTACAGCTTGTTTTACCAGGCTTCAATGGCGTTTTGCTCCGCTATATCTCACAATTAATTTAGCTCATAAATGTTTAAATGTATGGCAACCTTTTTCGCGTATATTAAAATTTTGTCAAATCAAAAACTTGTTAAGGCAAAGTTTCTTAAATTCAACCATATACAAAAAAGACCATAAATATTACCTAGGTTTATTTGAAGTACCACAAAAAAGGGGCCTGATTGGTTTAGCTGTTTTGACGTTTATTTGATCCAAACAGAGAGAGACAAGCCAAATTCTTACATCAATGTTTTGAATAACAAGATATTCTATTTTTATTTTTATATTTTGTTGTTTTCAACATTCATATTTTATAAACACGATGGGGCACAGCACAAAAGGCAAAAATTCGAATTCTCTGAAATCTTCTATCTTGATTTTAAACCTCTTCAATATTCATTCAACCAAAAGCAATTCTTTTCCTTCTCTTCACATTTTCTGCAGCTAAATCTCTAAGTGGATTTTATCCCTCAATATTGGGGAATTACTTAAATCATTTAAAACATTTTCCCCAGAAAAAGGTTAAAATTGTTCAATTCTAGCGGAGTATGTGTATTTTCATACAACTACCAATTAAAGATTCTCTTTGATCAGAATTTAAAGAATCTTTAATTTTAAAAGTTGTTCAGTTAAATTTTCTTTTAGAAGTTAGAATTATAAAAGTATCCATACAATCTATTTTTTAGATATTCTGAGCTGAACGCTAAACTCCTTCCTCTAATGGAGGATTACATTGTTGCTCTGAGATCCCGGGATAACACTCCCGCTCCTCTCCTCAACATGGACAGGGAGCATGAGGAGCAGATGATAAACAATTACAAGACCGAGGCCGAGGCTAAGATGAAGGAGAAGGAGAGCAAGGAGTCCACTGTACAGGAGACCAAAGAGATTGAAGAGGTCGAAACCACAACCGAGGTTCATCTTGAGACTGATGCTCCGACTACAACCTCTCCCCAGGAGGTCACCCCGGAGGACTCGGAGAAAACCTTGAAGGTTGAGGTTCATGCTACAGCTGTTCACCACGAGCATCATGTTGAACCCAAGATTGCGCATGCGCAAGCTCATGACTTCTCACTGAACCAGGGCGCGTACACCGTTCGCCGGGTTCAGGTTTCATCTAACAGCAGCATGTACGTCATCATGCTCGTTGCCGGAGCAGCCCTAGTTATCGCCGCCGTTGTCGGGGTCACTCTAGCTCGTCGTCGTACCTCCAGGTACTCCCACCAGCAGCTTGTGTCCAAGATTGGAAAGACCAAGGACGGATTTATCGAGGTGGACGCAACTTCTCCGGAGGAGAGACATGTTGCTGCCATGCAGATCAACGGATACGAGAATCCAACCTACAAATACTTCGAAGTTCCCTCTGCGTAATCCTCCAACCTCATCAACCAAGACTCTGTACAGTGAAGCTTGACGGCTTTAAACCGCTGATTGGCGTTGCTTAATTTTTGTCCCGTGATGTTCTTATTCAAACAGGGTGTTCCGTCTTTAACCATGCAGGCATTGATCATCTGAATTTTTTTCTTGGGACACCCGAAATTCCAAAAGTTTTAAATTAAGAAAAAATATTTTTACTCGGAGACCTTGAGAAAAACATGATTTTCCCTTTGTATGAAGCTGCTGTAACCAGAGTATATTTAATACTAAATACATTGGTACAATTCGTCCATTTTAATTCATGTACATAATATCCGTTACAAAGCGTACATAATAATTTCATTAGAAATTAAAAAATGTGAAGAATTTAATCATTTTTGACGGAATTCAACAACTTTCAATCCTCTAAAATTTTTGAATCCTGAACATTTTATAGATATTGTGTAAACGTAAAGAATATATTTCGTAATATATACATAAACACTTGTATATATTATATATATATTGAATAAAATACTCTCTTTATTAATGTTGTACAATATATAATCTTAGTCCTGACTTCCTAGTATAGATGAGACCTGACTCCTAGTATAGCTGAATCCTGACTCCTAATATAGATGAGTCCTGACTTCCTAGTATAGATGAAACCTGACTCCTAGTATAACTGAGTCCTGACTCCTAGTATAGCTGAGTCCTGACTTCTAGTATAGCTGAGTCCTGACTCCTAGTATAGTTGAGTCCTGACTTCCTAGTATAGATTAGTCCTGACTCCTAGTATAGCTGAGACCTGACTCTTAGTATAGCTGAGTCCTGACTCCTAGTATAGCTCAGTCCTGACTTCCTATTATAGCTGAATCCTGACTCTTAGTATAGCTGAGACCTGACTCCTAGTATAGCTGAGTCCTGACTCTTAGTATAACTGAGTCCTGATTCCTAGTATAGCCTGACTCTTAGTATAACTGAGTCCTGCCTCCTAGTATAGATGAGACCTGACTCCTAGTATAGATGAGTCCTGACTCATAGTATAACTGAGACCTGACTCCTAGTATGACTGAGACCTGACTCCTAGTATAGCTGAGTCCTGACTCCTAGTATAACTGAGTCCTGACTCCTAGTATAACTGAGACCTGACTCCTAGTATAGATGAGTCCTGCACTCCTAGTATAACTGAGACCTGACTCCTAGTATAGTTAAGCTGTAGGAAAAAGTTTCTAAACTTTTTCTGAAACAAGTTTGAACAACAACTAATTGTAGAGAACACCTGCTAGTCATGGATCAAAGATACTTTTTCTTCATTAAAGCAAAAAATAACTTTCCTTTGGTGTCTACATGAACAAGAATAATCATAAAAAAATAATTGATGATGCATTTGATAAATAAGAAAGGGTAAAATAATCATTTTCTTTAATCAAAGCCAGTTCGTTCAAGAGTTTGTATTGTATTAGTATTCTCTTATCAAAAGTTAGACATTTTTATGACTGGAAAGAAATTTAATAAAATTTATTTCTTGTCTATAAATCAAGATACAAGGTTACCCACAGAAAAGGAAAACAAACGTTCATCCGTTTTTTGATGGTTTTCGATGAACCATTTGAAATTGTTGAAATATTTAGCTAAATGGATTTTAATGAAATCTAATCTCCAGGTAATATATATAATACAGTTATTCGCTTATATATATATTTCTATGTTAACTTACATATGTTAGCTATAGTTGGGCAATCAACTGAACCAAAGTGGCTGAAATTTTTTTAAAGAAAATCTTGGGTACCCAAGGGGTAACATAGGTTAAAAAAATTAAATCTTCTTTCCTAAAAAATGCATTTAAATATTTTTCAATTTTCCTTTTTTTAAATTCCACGGGCAACGCCGGGCACTTCAGCTAGTACTAAATAAAACTGCATTCCCTTTCCAGTGTAAGGTTTGATGGAAAGAATGAAGAGAAAGGATGAAGTGAGTAAAGTTTCTTTTTGCATATCTACAGTTTGCAAAAACTCCTTTGAATCTTATCGATTTCTATTTATTGGGTTTTTACAGTCCAAAAGAGTGAATATTTAGCACAAGAAACTATATTTAAAGGGCCAGAAGTTTTTAGAGAGTATACGTTTGGGCAATAATTTGGTATGTTTATCAAGAACTTTTAAGGAATTTTGATTTTTAAACGGCACCACAAAATTACTGTGAACTTGTGTAGGTACTAATATTTCAAATATTAAACGCTTACTTTTATTTTACCATGTAAAAATTTTATTCTTTGAGAAATATCAGTAAAAAACGAATCAGTATTTTTGGTTTTTTGGTTTTACAGGTATCTTCTCTGAGGGTCAAAATATGGCAAAGTTTAGAAATGTTTAAAACCTTTTAAAACCCAAAAACTGAAAACTGTAATCTCCCAACTTTAATTACAGTTCACAGATTTCAACCTGAAAACTGTAATCTCCCAGCTCTAATTACAGTTTACAGATTACAACCTGAAAACTGTAATCTCCCAGCTCTAATTACAGTTTACAGATTACAACTTCAGGTAACAACAAAGGATGGTGGAAATTATTTTTTTTTAAACCTGGCAAAAATTCATTAAAAAATATTCTTTTGTAAATCTTAATTTTTTTAAATAACATCTTGGTAAAATGTTTATTAGAAAATATTGTAGATTCTTTTTAATTTTTCTTGTTCAAATTCTTAAATTGATTATCTCTCAGCGCTTCAACTTAGTTTCTGTTCCCATTGAACACCTGAAATATGTATATTGTATACACAGTGAGACTTCCTCTTTCCAACTTTATATTTTTAGTCCAAGTATGGAATATACACACTATACAATACATGTAACACTGTGATCTTGACAGGCTACATTTGTTAAATAAAACGTGCTGGGTCGAGTCTACACTTGGTAGTCCAGACTGTACAGTACGACTGAAGGCATTAACAGTTTTTAATTTACTACTTTTCTGTTAAAGTCAAGTATTTGTTTTGTAATTTTTTAATGAACCAATTTTTGTTCATTCAATCTGATTTAGCTCCCATTTTGTTTAACCAATAACTCGTTTATTTGAATAGTTTTGACCAAGTGAACGATTAGATAAAATGAAAACAGAACCAATTATTAAACTTTTAAAACAAGTTCTTTGTTAGTATGAAAATTTTAAACTCATGGTGAAAGTTTTGTTTTTGCTCCAATATTTTACAAAGTTTAATAAACTTTTTAATTTATTTTTTTTTGCTGAAATCTAAATTACAACCTGAAAAGTGTGTTCTAGTTTTATAAAATAAAATAGGAGGGAGTAATCCGCAATTAACTTTTACGGACTATCCGCACCTGAAAATTATCTCTTTTCCGAGAGAAAAATAAGGATATAATATGTTTTATTTTTGCGTAGACAAAGGTTTAAAGGGTACCATTGTGAATAGGACATTCACCACATTAAATGGAGGGTCACTTAAAATTGCGCATATGAGTCCCTTTAAGTCTTTTAAATACTTGGAAACACTTAAAACTTTAAGTAATGGAACAATTTCTAATTATTTTTTTAAAATTATGAACTAAGCTTAAAACTCTTGTATTGGATACCCTTCATCACGATTGCTAAATCTCTGTATCAATTGTAGACACTTTTGATTTTTTGCTAAATCCTCTCTTATGGATATTCCTGCTAGGTTTCGACCAACGAGAGTTCTTTCATTGATTGCGCGCAAAATTTTTGAATTTCTCTGCTTTTTGTGCAATTGACACTCTGATTGGTTGTATGTCAGACACTTGATATTCAGCTCTGGATATTAGTGTAAGATTTAATTAATCTTGAGATTAACAAAATGAGGAGATCAATCCTTGATCTCGATATCCACGATTCTAAAGTTTTCAGCCCTGGTATTTTACAATCTACAATGTTTACGTTGAATGGTCATTAATCATTCTATGGTTTCTCGAGTTTTCTCATGATTAAAAATAACATTAAATTCTTAATTGTTTGGACCTCCTGGTTTTTAAAGCTTTTTTTCTGAGTTATATATTTCTATAAAATGTTGAATGGATGATATTACAAATAAAGCTTTGTTTGAGAAATACAGACTCTGATTTTCTAATCCCTACATATATCTTTTAAACCAGATGTCGTAGACCTTTGGTATTTTATACTATAAATACTGTTAGATCAATTAAGAAAAGTTTAAAATATGAAAGGTATACACTTCCAGACTGCAAAGCTTTAGGGATTAGAAAATTGAGCTGGTGGCAAAAACTCCGTTCCTTCATGATTTTAAAGTTTAAAACTCTTTAAAAAGAAATAGAAGGGGGTAACCACTAACCAGCTGACAATGTGTGTTCCATATAATTTAAAATACATTCAGCTAATTATTTTAAATATTTAGGTTACTGTAACTGTGGTAGAAACTATGCTTTTGGATATGATTAATTATGTAATCCGATCCCAATCATATTATTCATAAAAATTGTTTATCTGAAAGTCAAAACAATTGAGCCGATGGGACCCAAATTTTGTGTGGGACCTCACATGACCATGAAAGTTGGCTTCAAACATTTTTGATTTCCGTAAAGTTTTGAAAAACCAGGATAACAAAAATTGTAAATCAGCTAAATTTTTTATTATTGTTTCATCAAAGAGAAAATGCTGAAAGATTGAGCAACAATGAAAAGATCAGATAGATAGTACAAGTATAGCCTAGCATTACATATTTATCTAAATATATTAAAGAGTGTTGGGGGGGGGGGGGGTAGAAGGGGGGGGCGGGAGATGTCTTTTAAAGCTTCAATGAAAAGTCCATTCTAGATTATAAGAAGAACGTAATTAGAGACTTTTTGCCCTGTTTTCTCTTCTTAGAATTTAAAGAAGTTTTTCCGTATTTTATGTTTTATACTATTTTGTTGAATAATGTATTTTGAATATTTAATTTTTTTAAGTTTTCACCATGTTTTGAAACAAAGATTAAAATATGTGAAAACAGACAGGATGTGGTTCGTTGTAATTAATTTTACGTAGTACATCATATATATATATATAAATTTACATGTCTACTCAATATTTCATATAATAATGTTAAAAAATATGACACGAACACCGTTGTAAACTAATTAGTATTTAAATTCCTTCAACATCGTTAAACATTTTTGATGCTTTTTGTCCAAAATGATTCTATAAAATAAATATTCAAAATATAACCTAAGTTTCGTTATAAAAAAAATGATTGATAATAATACCTATGAAAACTAAAAAAAATAATGCAAAAAATATTTATTGAAAATTTTTTAAATCCAATAAATAAAATATGGACAAAATATTTGTTTTATATTTTAGTATTCTGTTTATGTATAGTTGATGTCTGTTGTATTCCCCTGAGTACAATCAATATTATGTATAATTAGTTTTTCCAGATAAACTTAAGATAAAGACAAGTTAAAGAGACTGTGAGCGTAATTTCACCGCAAAGACGGCAAAGCCCGACTCCCCGAGTCACAACGGTACCCTAAAAAGCCACTATAGCTTCAGTAGAAGTAAATATTTCCATTTACTGTTAGCACCGATCTATAATTGGA